ATTGCTCGCCTGTTCATGATCAAATGCAGTTTTGGAATGTAATGCACTCTTCAACATTAAACATTAAAAACAGTCGAATTTCAGTGAATTTCTGAACCATTAAACGAATTAACTCTTTATAGAAATCTTACTTTATCTTTTCCACGGTTTGCGGTGGTTTAACCGCACTCTTAACATGTGATCCCTATCAAATTGTGAGTAGTATACAAGCTAATTTAGAAACATGTGAAGCAAATCTTCTCCAAAATGATAAGTGACACAAAGAACAACCTTTAAACATTAGTGTTTATTTAGTCTGGTTTTTCTAAACCAGCTCCATGGCTGCTGCCGTGAGATCAACAGTTGGCTAACACTGCCATAACCACATAACTAGCAGTGTTGCTAACTACCTCTAGTTAGCCATAATAACCAGTACTTCATTGTTGCGTATACAGACACTGAAATTCAGAGGTATCTAGCACTTCACAGATGCATATGTCCTAAGTGAGAACTGCATGGTTATTTTTCTTACAAATTTGTACAACCTTACCTCAAATAAGTCATGTACAAAATTGATGAATTGAAAGTGGAAAATATTATAACAAAATGTAATGACTGGGTTGAGAGAAAAACAGGCTAGAAATGAGAACTTACATATGTAGGTGTATAGGACAAAAATGGAATTGGATTCTGTGTTAATAACTACCAATAAATTCATTACCAATCTTTCTCATGAGACCCGTGAAGTGGAAAAGTTTACCTTGCACATGAGCAGGGAAAGGAGCTGTCAGACACAGTTCATCACTGCCTGTCAATCAAATAGGACAACCTATCAATCAAACTGGTGAATACTACTCTTGTATCCATCTGCACTGAGCCTCTGGGTGTTACACAATCAGTGTTCCTAGGCTAGGATTGAGCCAATAAAGCTACAGCAGGGGCCATATGAACTTGATTACAAGCCCATAGTGAGCATATCTAACAAATCGTTTGATGTATAAATGAGGTGATGTGTGAACGATTCTTCATGCAGGCATTTTGCACCAAATATGAAGGGTCAGTTGAAGGCATTTCTTACTTTAATTTGGCTATTTAAATCACGCTACGATGAAGATCAATGCCCTTTTTGACACATGAATCAAGAACCTATGAGAATACAGAATGTAGAACATACACACACAGATGAAACATCACAAACTGAATCATTTCCGACATTTCCCAACATTTGTACATGTACAAACTGGGGAGGGAACTGGATATCTTAAATTTGGTCTACTACTAAATCCTAAATCATGAATAATTTTCAACCTTTTGCAGACAATGCTTGATAGCGATGGGGAGACTTTCAGACTGACTGACTGACTGACTGACTGACTGAGTTTGGTTTTACGCCGCTTTTCAGCAATATTCCAGCAATATCACGGCGGGGGACACCTGAAATGGGCTTCACTCATTGTACCCATGTGGGGATTCGAACCCTTTAACGATTCAACGCTTTAACCACTAGACTACCCCACCGCCCCGGAGACTTTCAGAGAGTGCATTTTCATCATTTCCACAATCTGACCTGAAATAACTATTTCTCTTGGACTCTAGGTTTCACCCCATTACTTTACAGGTATGTGTGTGCATACAAAATTGTTGCTTGGAGAAGTCAAACAACGTTCCATGCATTTAAACTAGTGTTTTTTGCTACAGACATTCAGATTTCAAGATTCAAATAACTCCATTTGGAAATATTACACAATAAACAGTTTAACAAATGTACACATAAATATGATGTTTAAATAGTTTTTAAACATACTAAATCATACTATACAAATTAATCATCTATAAATAAATAGGTTAAACTAAAACTCTTCAAAGTCAAGTGACAATAAGAATTCTAAACAAGATAAAAAGGAGATGAGTAGCACTCGGACAGCATTTAACAATGAATCTAGTAAGAAAATATAACTCCATTTTCTTTAACACTTTGTCCATGAGTTATTTCCCTTTGTAACTGAACAAAGGAATATTCACTTAAACATTTTCAAAAGAAACTACAGACATTTTTCTCAATGACCACTTCAATATTTCATACTTTGACATTTTCAACTGTTCCAAATTCATGATGAATGACATACATTGTACAGAATAATGTACATCCAAGAGCGTAAATTCACAACCAAACTGTGAATAGGCCATCAGATACTGTCAGATATTTGTACTATTTCAACAAGATATTTAATTGACCACCAACAAAGTCATGGTAATAAATGAAAAAGGTAATGCCCTATAGAGAAAAACAAATTGCACTGAAATATCCTCAACCATCAAGGTGAAGCTCGTCTCCATCTTGCCCAGCCAATACACTGAGCATGTTCCAGTCAATCCACAGCGTCGAAGGAAGATGCTTCTGTCAATACAGAGAGCTGTTCCTGAAGAACTGAAGTTGTGCCAACAATTTGTGCACAAACTTTGCATGCAGCTGGACTTCTATCTTGGATGTTCCAATTTAACTGCACAGGATTACATATCCCTCAACATACAGGGGAGATATTTATCTCCATTTGAGGCAGGAACATTGGAGATAATTGGTTAATAATCTAACAATCATCACATTAACAAGACTATGTTCTTTTCACAAAAATACATCATATTCTCCATTGCTTTGCCTTAACTCTTAAACATGACAAGCTTGAATTTTGTGACATTGCCTGAGATTTGGTCCTGCCTTACCCACTACCATTGCAACATATTGACTACCTTGTTGCTTTTCACCCGTATGCTTTTGACAACTGCAGTGACAGATGGTTCATCAAATATAAATTTATGATCGTAAAGTAATTTATCTCTTCATATTGGCATACTGACTCAAAGACTGAATGTGAACGTCAATCATGCCAAAAGATTCCATGTGTCTCCATACAAGTCAACGGTCTGTTTCACAATGATCTTAGGGCAAGAGTGACCACAAATCTGTAAGTGCCAGTTGTAGGAGTCTCTTAGCCTTCCTGTGGACCAGACAATATCTCTATGGGATCACTATTATTCACCATGCTCCCTCACACCTTACACAGTCTTAGGCCTACTAAAATTAAAGTGGACTAATCCCTTGGATATCTTAAATAAATCTTAGGCTCCACACAACCATCCTAGTGGTAGGACATCATAAATCTAGGTTAAAGCATGGAGTTATGACCGTCTTAGCACTTAAGACTGCTTTGCAGAACAGGGCCCCAGGCTCTTAATACGAGTGAGTGAATATGGTTTTAAGCTGCTTTTAGCAATATTCCAGCAATATTGCGGCATGGGACACCAGAAATGGGCTTCACGGTGGGGAATCGACCCCTGGTCTTCGATGTGACAAGTGAAGCACTAGGCTACCCCACCACCCTCTCTTAATATGAGAATGCTATCCCATACTTATGACACTGGCACAATCTAAATCAGAGCTTCTTGACACCAAGCTGTACATGGCCCAAAATTCAATGAGGTAATTGGGAAATCAAACCTGGCCCTTCAGCAGCATGTGCAACTGAGCTACCCCAATACATGAGCTTGCACAGAATTGCCATAGAAAGTAAACCCTTCAAATCTTTGGTAATATTTGATATGAGATACTAATCCCAGTTTGACTGGGATTGTGTCCTGATGGTGTGGGTGGGTATCATTACTAGAGTTGACTGTCAACAAGAACGTGATTCACAAAACATGTATGTGAAACATCTTGAAAATCAATCGTTTCAGATTGCCCTCTGCCCATGACAGCTACCTGTATGTTGTTCATATATTCAGCTGATTGTGAGTAGGTGCGTCTTCACTCTACCTTGAAAAGTATTTCAGTTATCTCACGGCATGTCAGCTTGATATCGGAGGAAAGTCTGATGTAATGCAAGTCTTAAACATTTACCTATTTAGTGAGAGCCAGGAGCATGGTTACAGTGACAAACCTAGAGTGAGTGAGTGAGCTTAGTTTTACACCGCACTCAGCAATATTCCAGCTATATGGCGGTGGTCTGTAAATAATCGAGTCTGGACCAGACAATCCAGTGATCAACAGCATGAGCATCGATCTGGATAAACCTAGAGACATAATCAGGATGAATATGGGATTTGAACCTATAATTGGATGTCCTGGCACAGCAACTGGCAGGGGCTCTGATGAGGACAAATGAGCAAACTACACCCGGAACACAGCTCAGGGCCTAGATTTTCGAAACGTTTGTAGCCCTACAAACTTCTTAAGCCCATTCTTAACACACTGGCTACGATCAAAGTTAAGGAATCTTAGGGTTAACACAAAGACATTTCGAAAATCTAGGCCTAGGATCATAGTTTGGCAATAGACACAGAAAAACATCAGGCCTCTGAAACTGTACATGCAGCTATTCATCTCCATGTTTTAGACACTCTACGATTGTTAAACAATATCTGGCAACTGACAGTCACAGGCTTTGGTAGGATTATAAATCTTTCCTGAAACTACTGGAAACAATAACTGTCCACTGACCAATGGAAGTTCTGACAAAAAGAAAATGAATTGTGCGCTTGAAAGAATTGTGTCCACTGACCCAAACAAATGTCTTGAAGTAGCAGAACTCAGAAAATATTTGACTCACACAAAAATAGCAGCCTGGTTGGTCATTCATTCAAGTAGTCCTGTATTATTCCTGTTTGCAGCCATTTTCAAGCATCACCAGTTCTGATGCCATGAAGTAGTGGGGGACATTTTTCAAATTTCAGTATCAGAATACCCACAGGCGGTTGACATAGGAAGTTGTTTTCAACTCAACACATTTCAACTGTCCAACTTTTAAAGTGTATCAGTTGTCAATTTAGTACCTATGATTCCCCCAAAAGCACAATTTGGACCCAAAAGTTGTATGAAATGTCATGTAGAATCTCTTAAGTTTTTCATCATCCCCAAACCATGTACTGTATTGCAATCAAGTGCTTGTAATTTACAATGTAAATGGATAATGTCTGTTAATGAGAGACCCTGCCTTGTGACCCTGACTGTGTACATGTAACTATGGTAACCAGTACAACAATGAAATTTAATCAGTATCACATATTTAACCAGTTCGGAACAAACAAAGTTAACACAAAGTGTAATAAAAATATTTTCTGAGTTGAATTGATCACAGCTCTTTGCATGGAGGTATATGGATGTCTATCGAACTGTTCCCAAATTTGAGTCTCAGCTTTTTCGGCCTGTATGGATTTTTGTCCTTCATGGAACTCGAGTAAAACTGACTAGTTTCAAACGAAGAGGGCACCTGACAGGCACTGGAATGGACTTTTTCCAAAGGTGGAGGGTCAAAGACAGAGGTACCGTTAGACCCTCCCTGGTTTATCGGAGATTCACAGTCACTTTCATCATTCCATTTAAAGAAAACACTGGCTGAAGTCTGATTAGCAAGTTGCTGCTCAAGAATGGGATCCCGTCGCATACGGATAGTCACTTTTGGCACCTTCTTCCTTGGGGAATATTCAATTGTGTCCTCAGCACTGGAGGTAGAAAATCTTTGCTGCCGTTTGCCATTAATGGGTCCTTTGTTCAAGAAACGTAATGAATCTTCACAGTCTGGTAACACTTGTTTCTTAACCATGACCTCGGGATCACTAGAATGCCCAAGCCAGGCCCCTTCTCCTGAGACTATTTTGGCGCACCTGTATGGAGATTTTGCCCCTCCAAAGAAATCATCATCACTTTCCTCTTCTTCTTCTTCATCTTCCTCCTCCCCCTCCTCCACCACACTCTCTTCCTCAATGCTCTCAGTGCCGTTGTATTCCTGAACATTGTGATTTGAGTCAATTGTCTGTTGTCTCACCAACACTGGCATTTCAATATCATCATCCTCATCCTCATCCCCATCCTCATGTTCATCCACTGCAGCATCCAAATTCTTTGCCAAATCCACACAAACGTTTTCACTGATGGGGTTCTGATCAATGATGGGACACGACCCACTGTTCTGACGACCTCGCAGTCGAGGACTCTGTCGGACAGGTGGATGAGGTAACTTGTTCTTACTTCTGCTTCCTTTAGGACTGAATTCAAAACTGTCAGGTTTCAGTTTACCGTTTTCCACTTCAGCTATTCTAGGCACTTTGGTGCTGGTATGGTTGTAAATGTCAGAAAAGTCACATTTTTCGGTATTGGTTCCTGGGATTTCATCACATTCATTAGCTAACTGGTTGCTATCTACAGTTTTACTTCTAAGTTTCCGGTGCTCGGCACTGGATGGTGAAGTTTGATTAGAGTTTTTTCTTAAACCAGGCCTAGGCTCTAAGTCTATATGTAAAGAGTCATCATCTGAGAACTGAAACGGATCCTTATCATCATCGAAAACAGCATCTGGTTCAGGCAAGTCTTCAGGTTCACGTTTTATAGTTCGAACATCCGGAATGTCTAAGTTACAGTTTGAGTTTGTATCGACTTCCAGCCCAGGTTCAAGTTTCACTCTTGACGACACACAATGAATACCGTCATCACACTCTCCCTCCTCAGCTTCTTTCCCTGACTTAACAGGATACCTCTTCTTCTGTGTGTAAAACCTCTTCCTCTTTTTCCGCTGCCGTTTTGGATTACATGGCGTATCTAGGCTGCACATTTCCTGCTTTGGCAGTTTTGGCGGCAGTCGATTTAGTGATTCATCAGCGCATATATCCTTCTCTTTTTTCACGTTTTTCAGAGAGGGCATCCTGTCTGCCATTTTCTTAGTAGAGGACTTACATATATTCTGGCTATTCCGGAGTTTGTTCTTACACGGGCTGCTTCTGAGGTCTCTGGTTGGTGGCAGTTCCAAGTCCATTTTCACTGCATTACTGTTGTTCAGTTTGAAAGGTAAATCCCTCTCTAGGACTACTTTTGGTTCCGGTAGAGACAAGCCTTGAGCAAGGATGATTTCTGCATCATATCTTGTGATCCCTCTTCTTTTCAATTCTGCTGCCTTCAAAAGGTGTGCGTGGGAATCAAGGTTTTTGGCGCGGTAGTCCCAGTTTTCTGAAATGAAACAATACATAACCATAACAACAAGAACGTAATTTTTTTATTAACATTGATATTTTATACTTATCCTGACTGATTAATAATGCACCAAATTCCTCTCAGGTGTATGCCCATGGTGCCATATTTTACTCCTGCCAATGGGTTAGTGTGGTCTCAATTTTGATTCTCAGCTTCCTTGGTAAACTGTTTGATCAACATTCACTTTTAGCTTGAAAATGGTGTAAGAATGTACACCGAAATATCACTCTATGCAATAAACAAGAAGCTGTTATCCATAAAGTCTTATCCTTATTACCTGGGTATAATACACGTTTTCAACAACTGAGAGTCATAACTTTCTGAATAATGCAAATGTGTACACAGGGATACTATCTAAAAGGTTGAATCAGGTACTTTCCTAATTTTACGATGTATAGCAGTGTATGAAACCAGCCAAAAACCCAGCCAGACATCGGGCTGGTAACTTCAAAATGTTACCCGTCCGAAATGAATTTAACCAGACCAGACACCAAGATATATGGTGAACATGGGTGGATCCAGAAATTTTGAGGTGGGGGGTGGGGGTGTTGTGTTTTCAGGGGGTTAAAACGCCCTGAACCCCCCTTGGCTCCGCCAACGCAAATTTTCTTTTTCAATGTAGTCTTAAGGCATTTTCAGGGGGGGTGGGGTGTGTGTGTTCAAACCCCCTGAAACACCCCCACCCCTCTTGGATCCGCCACTGAGTGAATTTACTCAGATGTATGGAACATCTGAATAAAATTACCAGACCATCGGACTGGCTAGCTGTAAATTTAGACCGTCTGTCAGAAATTTAGCCCATCTCGGGCGGTCGGACGGGCCTTATTTCATACACTGTGTATAGGTTCTTGAGCTAATTAGATGTGATGATTCAGCTTTATTTTCTTCATCACGTAGATTTAAATAGACACAGAACACAACTATTCCTCAGTGAGATGGAATGATTCTATCAAAGAGACACAGATGTTTGATGTTGGATGACGTACCCGTGGAAGCTGCGACAACACCGTTGATGTGAGGTTGTTTGATCTCGGGCTGGGATTTGAGACGGTTGACCCGTTCGTCCGTGTCCCTCAGTTTGTAACCCTCCTCGTCTACACTGTTAGGCACTGGGCACTTTGGACGGAACGCACCTGCCTGTCTCCTGAAACACATACACACAACAGTCAACACCCCTCAACTCAAACTCAGATATCAATATCAAATTTCTTTAAATAACAAACAGAGGCCCCTTCCTTTATTCTTCCATAAGCACCTACCTTTCACAGGTTTCGCATTCACAGAGACTGTTTCCATCGCCGAAGAAATCTTCTCCATAAAAACATGTGATCTCCTCGCCCTTGTCTATATCTCGCAATACTTTCACACAGGCAGTATCTCGACCCGTTGACACAAACTGAAACATGACAGTAGACTCACAGATGGATGTCTTGGTTCCCAACATGTGTCATTAGCTATTATGTTTCTTTGTTTCTGTGTGTTGTTTAACACCCACTAAGCAACTCTATAAATATACGAGAGTATCAGCCAGTGATTGATGTCATGAGTAACGGTCCTCCCCAGTGCAATACACTGACAGGCAAGCAACCAGATCATTGAGTCTGTCCACCCGACCCATATAATTGAATATCATTGTTATCCACCCGACCTATATAATTGAATATCATTGTTATCCACCCGACCTATATAATTGAATATCATTGTTATCCATCCGACCCATATAATTGAATATCATTGTTATCCATCCGACCTATATAATTGGATATCATTGTCAGTATCAAGCCGACCTATATAATTGGATATCATTGTTATCCATCCGATCTATATAATTGGATATCATTGTCAGTATCAAGCCGACCTATATAATTGATTATCATTGTTATCCACCCGACCTATATAATTGAATATCATTGTTATCCATCCGACCTATATAATTGAATATCATTGTTATCCACCCGACCTATATAATTGAATATCATTGTTATCCATCCGACCTATATAACTGAATATCATTGTTATCTATCCGACCTATATAATTGGATATCATTGTCAGTATCAAGCCGACCTATATAATTGGATATCATTGTTATCCATCCGACCTATATAATTGGATATCATTGTTATCCATCCGACCTATATAATTGGATATCATTGACAGTATCCAGCCGACCTATATAATTGCATACCATGGTCAGTATCCACCCGACCTATATAATTGCATATAATGGTCAGTATCCATCCGACCTATATAATTGGATATCATTGTCACTATATCCATCCGACCAATATAATTGCATACCATGGTCAGTATCCATCCGACCTATATAATTGGATATCATTGTCACTATATCCATCCGACCTATATAATTGCATATCATGGTCAGTATATATCCCACCTATATAATTGGATATCATTGTCAGTATCCATCCGACCTATATAATTAGATATAATGATCAGTATGCACCCGACCTATATAACTGCATAACATGAAACTAGCTCACGCGCAACGTATAACTAACAAACATCCATCAAGGATGAGACAACTTCTTTACCTTACAACTTGGTCGGCAATCATGGTTTATGAATGAAGCAGGACCAAGCCATAGTTGAGCACAGTTTTTCCTACATGAGAACATCACACTGAAATCATTCACCCCTGGGGTCAATAGTTCTTGTTCCTCTTCATGTGTGAGCTCGGCTATACACCCAATCAGCATAGAGATTGTATCGTTCTTGCGCCTGTAACAGAAGCACTATATGACACTCTCTTGTTGACATTAAGAAAAACTGACATAATGAGTGAAACATGCTATGTAGACAGTGATGTAGGTAGGATTATAAACTAAGTGCCCCTTGGGCAGCAACTTGGAAAAAAAAAATTGTTCATAATCTTTTTTCATTCTCTATTCCAAGTTCTAATTTTTTCAATCAGGAAATAAGTTGACATATTTGGAGATTTTAGTACATAACTAACCACTAAAGTCTCTTCGGTCCACTTTTGTAGAGGTGTTGTTATAGTAGTTATACATTATTAACCAGGGCCTAGATTTTCAAAGCTCTCTTAGCACTAAGATAGTCGTCGTAAGTTAGACTTGATGCCCTATATTGGCCTCTGTGAAGGTTTGGATAAATCTATTAAGCACATCATGTTTTTTTCAGGACAGAGTAATCAAGCCCAGATAAAACATCAACAACTGCATAGGCAATCTAAATAAAGTTGAGCCATTCTGTGAAACACAAAAAGTCTGCACAGTCCATGACTTTAGCCACTAGTATGGTGCCCAAGTACAGTAAAATTCTGTTTGGTTTAGCACTTTCCGCTAATAATGGTCCATACAATAAGACCAAATTCTACTGCTATGAGATACACTCAGACTATTAGTCTCAAATGTTCACGAACCGGACAGCACACTTGTGAAGATCTGACAAAAGTTACGAAATCATGGTTCTTGAGCAAATTGGAAATCATGACACAATATGTGAGCCTCAACTGTGACAAATCAATTGGCAGTTTTAGAGACATAAAAAGAATGAGGAACCAGCATGCACTCTCCACAAAAGTAAAATACAACCCTTTGGTTAACACAAAGACATTCATTTGTATGTTGCACGATCACAGACGTTAATGCGTTTACCATCTTCTGGTGGTACAGATTCGGCCACCAATTTGTCCTTCCATGGAATATCGATGACATCCCAGAATTTCAAATCCTGCTCTCCTGTCGAACATCTGCAGGTATCGATGTACCTGTGGGGCATTTACAAGACTTGTAAACTAACAGAGAAATTTTATCAACAAACATGTAACATATAAAGAAAAAACCCTTAAATATCCAAAAATAATCCAGCTTTATCCACGAATAAGGTGTCACAACTGCTTAATCTTTTCAAGTAGAATTCTTGTAATAAACTTACATACACAAAAGCACTTTCAGACAGTAATACGAGTAATTATTTCGCATTTAATTATTACATTTCACAACAATGATTGTTTGTTGATTTGTCATACATTTGTTAATCAATCAGTTACTGTTTTAACAAACAGATCTATGGCTTATGTTTTTACGTACATGTTGCTTGAAGACACTGCATTCCTGTTTTGTTTTAGATGAGAGGAAATTACGGGCAGCATCAATAGAGAGAAGTGCCTTGTATGTGCGTTCATAATCCTGTTGCTCTTTGAACTTTTCAACTATAGCCTTCAATGTTGCCTTGGCTTTCAGAGGACGATGTCTGCAAAAAAAATTAATATCATGAACTGAAACACAATCATTCCATTTCATAAATATTATTTCAGACATGAAGGAAATATTGCTTTGTACAATTCATCAGCTAGAGTTAAAAAATCATATACTGAGGAAAAAATAAATTTATTAATTGATATTTAGTCATCAGAGATATTAACAAGTTGTCAAAACTTGAGCACTGGTTGGTTGAAGATATGCTTCAGTAGGAAGGTTTCTGGTGTGTATACGATTTTGTATCCGATATTTTGCATGAAGGAAACAAAAGTAATGTCACTGCAAGACAGCTCAGGTTGTTTCAAACTATGATAATACTGAAATGACAGAGACCGGACAGAAACATATTAAATATACCATGTCTATTACTAAAATATTATATAATCATTAGCTGTTAAAATCATTATTGTCTTTGTTAAGATCACTACAGTCAGTTGACTGAAAAGGGCTCCCCCACTTTCCCCGAGATAAACAGTAAATGAATCTTATTAATGTGGCTGTAATTCACAGATTATATTATATAACAAAAATTACATTTACATTGATAGAGTCAGTGAAAGTCAAAACAATAGATATCATATTCAGTTAACCTTGTGTTCATTTTATGAGTTAAAAAGCCAAGGAATGGGTCCAAAAGAAGACTGGTCGCCAGGTCATCATTTTCACACAGCTCTGTTGCTGTCATGCCTGTTGACGGGTACCGGGCGGTCCCAAATATGGAGGTCATCCTGCAATTTGAGAAAACAAAGACTGCAGATATAAACCTACTGAGATATCAGCAAATCAGTCACCATTGTTTACTCATTGTCTAAAGACTAGTAAACAATATCATTGTTATTTTTAAAGTTTATACCAGAAACTGACATTCATAAACAAACGTCAAATACAGCAAAATGGGCACTACATCTACGCACGGAAGGGGCCCATTTAAGGTGGAAAAAACATACCCAATTTATTGTCAATATTTTCAGTATGTGCAACATATTGCTTTAGAACAAGCATCAAAAGACCAATAGCTTGTAAAATATAGTGTGCAGTGACTTCTGTTAATCACAAAATAAACTTTGCAAAATGTTTGTTTAGGGAGACTGCATGGAAAAGTTAGCAGTGTGCAGATACGGCCGTTGTCAAGTCGGAGGATAAAGACTTATGTTTCGATCGAAATCGTATTGTCACTATAAACATGAGTAATGTTGACACTATGACCATTTAATGAACACAATGCACTCGATCCAATTATTTCATATCACATGTTCATATACACTTGCACCGACAAAACTCATTATTTTCAAGATCTATCTGCCTCCCACCGTTCAAATAAAGCGCTGACAAGAGTTGCGTTTCGGTATGTAACGGAGCTCCGCTTACGAAAATAGCTGTGTGGGCCCATAACCAACAAAGAGCCACTTAAAGAAAACGAATCAGCGGTTCATTCTAGAAGTATTTGAGATATAATACATATTTTTTCTATGATTTACCTGTAATTTTCAACGATGAACCCTGGCTTCCTATCGGGACAAACCACACAAAATGGCTGTCGAAACCGTCAATAAATTCCTAGAAAAATAGTGCAGTGTTATTTTTCTGTATTCATGTTTATTCAATAATCAATTCCTTGCATGTCCAAAGAATTCACATTGGTGGGATATTTAATAAATATCTATTATCATGAAAGCGACAAAAGCCTATATGTTTCAGAAAATGAAATATAGGTCGCGTAGGAATACTGTCATCAAGAAATATACATCTGAGAACTTTTTTAGCACGAGAGTGGAAATTTTAGGTGCATTATTTACAGTTTGTATTTTATGACATTCAAAATAATGATACTGAGTAGAGTTAGGATTATCAGCTCTTTTCTGAAGGTGTCACGTCGAAGAAGCACTAGGTGATGGTGCATAATCGGCAATTGCTTAGATATCATCTTAGTTTTTGTCTTATTTAGTAGAACCTGTGCAAGGCCTCTTCAAGATATTACCTATGTATTAACTAGTACTCAGTAAGAATAGATCTTACTGGACAGCCTTGCATTATAATTAGAAAACTTTGATGGACTTATTCAGTCATTACCTTTTTAAACTGTGTGTTCCCCAACTTTTTTGTAAGGGCGAGATGAGCATTATGTAATACACATACCCTAAAAAGGGCTCATTAACAGCTGCCAAAAATTTCAAACCTTTAGTAATACATGCTTGTTCCATTTGCCTCCATCCAAGCAATAACTTCGCCAGTGTAAGGCTATGATAATTAATGTACAGCTAACATTCAGAATGAATATTGCTTTGCAATAATTGCTGCCTTGGTCTTGAAGTTTACTGAAGGTAAATGACTATAATAGGGGACCATTCATAATTTCTGGCTAGGGGGGGGGGTGATGATGATTTTAAGTGTGTGTCGCCCATTTTGTTCTGGGTAGGTAGGGACATCATCAATCTTGTACACAGGTACTAGGGCTGAAGGGGGTCGTCGGCACAGGTACTACAGATATGTACCCCAGGTACGTTTCTGTATACAGATATGTACCCTAAACAAAGACAAACTACAGAAACGTACCCGGTTCCATATTCCGCAACCCAAAACCAAAACCGTATGTAGTTGTTCCCGTTCATTGCGAGTAGTGTACGTTGTGCACTGTGACGTATTCGTTACTGTGTATGCTCTTATATAACGATATCAAATGCATCTAATACAACAGTATGACAGTTCTGATCAAGAAAACTCCACAATGCAGAATGGAATCGTCCAAGGGTACGTTTCTGTATTCTGATTTTGGCTAGGGTACATTTCTGTATACAGAAACGTACCTGGGGTACACATCTGTAGTACCCGTGCTGACAACGACCCCTTCAGCGGTACTAGGGTGTGTGTAGGAGTCATTGATTTTGCACATGACATGCAGGGTGGTCTCTTATATCTTGTACATAAAATTTAGGTATGGGGGGCTCATTGACATTGTACATGCCTCTGCATAAAATTCATCATCACAACCCACCCATCCCCACCCCCACCCCACCCCACCCCCAGCCATAAATTATGAACGGTCCCTAATTACTGAATTGATCTTTTAAGTTGACTGAAGGTAAATGACTATCATAAGCTTAACCAGATTTGGCAGGTTACCTGTGTACTTGAGAATGTTTCAGAGCTCCAGATAAGATTTAGCTCATGTGGGTATTGTACCCGCTGTCTTTTTTTTGGAGTGGGTATTATGAATGTTGAGTGGGTATTTCATTTTCCGTTACCCACTGCTTTCAAATATGTGCGTATTTCAGTCATTTACTCACCTAGGTATTATGTCATTGAGTAAGTTTACTAAGCAGGTATGTTCTGCCTTATGTCATACCTAATCAAAACCAACTTAAATATAATGGAAATGATTTCATAAAAAATCACTCATCCTATACTGACAGTACAACTTGATAGCAATCGATGTCTTTTTCATTACGCATGCGATTTTTATAAATATATTCCGTACGCATTGTTTTAAACATTTTGCGTATCTAACATTTTAAATGTGTGATTGGTACGCAACAATTATTTTTCAATGCGTAATTGGAAATTTTCTATGCATATTTTACCAGGATACGCAGCTTATCTGGGCCTCTGATGTTTACATGAAAGATAAAGTAAAATGGCCAGTTTGGTTTATGACATTATGTAAACAAACCACACAGACAAATTGTTTCTGTATTGAGTAATTGATTAATCAAGCTGAGGGTATGTCTGATTGGGTCGAGACGTACTCAGGTTCAAAATGATATAATGTTGTACCAACACTTTTGTTGCCACATCGTTTTGTAACTAGACAAAATGCCAAAGCATACCTCGATTTGGAAATCTTGTGATAGTCCACAATGATTACTTCCCCCCTAAACTATGAACTTTAATGAATAGAATGCGCAACAAACTGCACCATGATATAGACAGAACGCCATGTTCTATAAACAGATAAAAGGACAGAGTGGGATGAAGCTGTTTCCTTCCAGACACCTTATATGTCAGCTGCGCCCTCAGACAAGTCACTTTCTGATATTTCAACTTCCTTTATGATAACCCTGGATATCCACCTCTGCTACCTACTCTCAATACTTTTGTTAAGTTAACAAGTGAGCTGTTTGAAATCAGGGTTGTAAGAGCTGACTTCTGGGGTATGTACCCATGCTTGTCATAAGAGGCGACTAACAGGATCGGGTGGTCAGGCTCGCTGATTTGGATAACGCATGTCATTATATCCCAGTTGCGTAGATTGATGCTGGTTGATCACTGGATTGTCTGGCCCAGACTCAATTATTTACTGTCTATGGCTGGAATATTGCTGAGTGTGGAGTTAAATAACAAACCAACATTTTTAGGGTAGGAAGATTCAGTGACCAGGTTGTATTAGACTAACAACTAGTCTCTGAAATGAACATATTTTGCAGAAAAAAAAAGCTCATAGTAAAAAAAAAAAAAATAATGAAAAGGAGCCGGAGACTTTCTTCAGTTTCAGAAGCTGTGGAAATCTAGACTTGCCACATTTTCTAGACTTGCGGCGGCTTTCTTGGATATATTTGCTTCAGGGTCTGTATGACAGACTGAGGTTGAATGGATGTCATCATAAACGGAGGCATGTTTGAATGGAGTCATTTACTGTTGGTGTCGGCTCACATTATGACTCTTGTTTTTAGTATGCATGAACGTTTTCCTGATTCTTTTATCTGGACATCAGAGGCAGTGGGTAGCCAATTAGTTAAAGCATTCGTTCATCATGCCGAAGGTCCACGTTCGATTACCAGAATGGATACAATGTGTGAAGCCCATTTCTGGTGTCACACACCTTGATATTGCCCCCATCCACTGGAATATTGCTGCAAGCATGTAAAACATCACTCTCACTCACTCACTCCTTGAAAAGTGCTGAAATTGTACTAACAGTTATCGAAAACTAATTGAATTTTATTAGCAGTCCTTGAAAGAGCTGGAATTGTACCAACAGTGCTTGAAAACTTTTGAAATTGTACTAACAGTGTTTGAAAGAGTATTTAATTGTACTAACCTGCCTTGAAAAGTTACAGAATTCTTTTAACAGACCCTGTATTTTAAATAATGGTGTTCAGTTTCAACTCAAAAAGACATACAGGAATTATTTGCTCTCATTTCATACTTACCTTAGTGGTTACTTCCCTGTCAGCTGACGTAGAACAACTGTGCTCATGTGTGGCAGCTGACCTGTATAGAAGGGAAGGTATCTACTGACTGTTAAGGAAAACGTGAAGCTTGATTGATTTTGCTGGTAAGGTTTCATGGACGTTCAAAAAAGTGTCCTTGAAAACATGAAATCTGAGTGAGACATCTGTAGGAATCCAGTCACTGTCTCAAGTGTGCAGTTTCATCATTTAGACCTTCACGGGAACAAACCCTTCCTTTGTTTTATTATCTGATTTTATAATATTTACATGGCATGGTAGGACAGATGTATAGGATACATATCTAAAGTATTTCAATACTGGCCATAGTGGCAATATGTAGGTATGGGTCTTTAGAATCACTTGTATTATTTCATTTTTCTAATTTTGTATGTTTAATTTGTTTTATTTGATACATTGGTAATATGTGTGACAAAATAAAACAGAATGTTGAAATTAATGTTTGTAGATAATATATTTTAGCGTTTTTTGTGATTGTCATGTGTGCCAAAATATCATCTTAAAATGACGCATGAATTCACAGTAATTAAATGCTTTATTTACATAACTGTAATATGATTACTTTCATTTCCATTCACATCTTTTCCAAGTTCAAAGTTAAAAAATCTCCTAATATGCCAGTATAGGCAAAGCAAACACCAATAAAGGAACCTATTTATCATTTGTACTTAAACACAGGCATCTAAAAGTTCTTTTGAAAGTTGGCTAAACTCACATATGTGTGGTGTCTTGGAAGTTGATTAACATGGGGTCAATTTCATTTAAATGTTTTGAGAAAATATGTGTAAGTTTGGAATAATAAATGGAATGGTGCTTAACTTTTTCTGATGTGTATATTACTACTGTTAACTGTTAACTGGGAATGTATTTAGAGGATAACCATAGAGCTATGTGGAAAATACGGATTATCTGTCTTGAGTCTTGTGTGATTGAAAAGTGTTAATTCAAAGCCTGAGGCGAGGCTCTTTAGTATTAAAGGGACAAATAATCTGTGATTCTGATTATTGAGTAGTTATTTCTATATATTACTAATTGATTTTATATATTCGTTAAAGAAATAAATATATGAAATATCCTCAAAGATCAACTTCATTGCACAACATTTTACAGATTTGACTGACATAGTCCTAAAGCTAGATTCAGAATATTAATGTTGAGAATGTAGGTTATTTGGATTTGCTTGCAAAATGGATCTGTTATTATTGTGGAGAGAATCAAGTGCAATCTTGTAGCCACACTGCAAACACAACCCTGGAATATTGTATGTTTCAGTTTCGTTATAATTAATACTCTGGACCTATTTACCATCATGAGGGTGGTTGGGTAGCCTAGTGGTTAAAGTGTTCGCTTGTCACGCTGAAGGCCTGGGTTCGATTCCCCACATGGGTAAAATGTGTGAAGCCCATTTCTGGTGTCCCCCACAGTGATATTGATGTAATATTGCTACAAGCGGCGTAAAACCAAACTCACTCACTCTGGTGTCCCATGCCGTGATATTGCTGGAATATTGCTAAAAGCGGGGTAAAACTAAACTCACTCACTCACTACCATCATCACTCTGTTTAGAAAGCGACATCACCAAAATGTGACATTAAAGCCTATTTCAATTTGCCTCACCTGACATCGACACCTTCTGCTGCTGTCTCCAACTAAGATCTTTCCCTGCTGAGTTAGGCCATCCATAGTTTTTTATCTGTTTCTCAGGTCCAACCTCAGCCAGCTAGTGGGCCAAAATAATTAATGCAAGTTAAAAAAATATGAAATATGTTTTTTCACTAATGGTGTAACATTTTTCATGAAATATATGAATTTGTTCACATGGTAATAGTTTTTACATTAATTAATGATGAAGATGAAGTCACTTTGCTAATTAATTATGTTGATGCAGAAGCTGTTGTTTGATGAGTTGGGAAGGGTATTTGTAATTTTATATCACATCAGGGCAGAAATGTCTGCAGCGGTGGGAAGATAGGGAACTTATTAGTTTATACTGGAATGAAACTTCATTGCGGACGGGAGATGGGAAACAAAGGCAGCCTTACTGGATGTTATATCCATTTTTAGTGTTATCTATTTTAAGTAGGGCTTAAAACAAATTTCTGTTGTAATGGAGACAATAGTGCCCTGCATAATTGAAGATGTTAGTTAATGGGTCCAGGGTATTTATGCTAATGCAGTGGAGAGAATAGTGCCCTGCATCATTGAAGATGGTAGTGAATGAGTCCAGGGTATTTATGCTAATGCAATGTAGAGAATAGTGCCCTGCATCATTGAAGATGTTCGTGAATGGGTCCAGGGTATTTATCCTAATGCAATGTAGAGAATAGTGCCCTGCATCATTGAGGATGTTAGTGAATGAGTCCAGGGTATTTATGCTAATGCAATGGAGAGAATAGTGCCCTGCATCATTGAGGATGTTAGTGAATGGGTCCAGGGTATTTATCCTAATGCAATGGAGAGAATAGTGCCCTGCATCATTGAAGATGGTAGTGAATGAGTCCAGGGTATTTATGCTAATGCAATGTAGAGAATAGTGCCCTGCATCATTGAAGATGTTCGTGAATGGGTCCAGGGTATTTATCCTAATGCAATGGAGAGAATAGTGCCCTGCATCATTGAGGATGTTAGTGAATGGGTCCAGGGTATTTATCCTAATGCAATGGAGAGAATAGTGCCCTGCATCATTGAGGATGTTAGTGAATGGGTCCAGGGTATTTATCCTAATGCAATGGAGAGAATAGTGCCCTGCATCATTGAAGATGGTAGTGAATGGGTCCAGGGTATTTATCCTAATGCAATGGAGAGAATAGTGCCCTGCATCATTGAAGATGTTAGTGAATGGGTCCAGGGTATTTATCCTAATGCAATGGAGAGAATAGTGCCCTGCATCATTGAGGATGTTAGTGAATGGGTCCAGGGTATTTATCCTAATGCAATGTAGAGAATAGTGCCCTGCATCATTGAGGATGTTAGTAAATGGGTCCGGTGTATTTATCCTAATGCAATGGAGAAAATAGTGCCCTGCATCATTGAGGATGTTAGTGAATGGGTCCAGGGTATTTATCCTAATGCAATGGAGAGAATAGTGCCCTGCATCATTGAAGATGTTAGTGAATGGGTCTGGGGTATTTATCCTCATGCAATGGAGAGAATAGTGCTCTGCATCATTGAGGATGTTAGTAAATGGGTCCGGTGTATTTATCCTAATGCAATGGAGAAAATAGTGCCCTGCATCATTGAGGATGTTAGTGAATGGGTCTGGGGTATTTATCCTCATGCAATGGAGAGAATAGTGCTCTGCATCATTGAGGATGTTAGTAAATGGGTCCGGTGTATTTATCCTAATGCAATGGAGAAAATAGTGCCCTGCATCATTGAGGATGTTCGTGAATGGGTCCAGGGCCTTTATGCTAATGCAATGGAGAGAATAGTGCCCTGCATCATTGAGGATGTTAGTGAATGGGTCTGGGGTATTTATCCTCATGCAATGGCGAGAATAGTGCCCTGCATCATTGAGGATGTTAGTGAATGGGTCCAGGGTATTGATCCTAATGCAATGGAGAGAATAGTGCCCTGCATCATTGAGGATGTTAGTGAATGGGTCCAGGGCCTTTATGCTAATGCAATGGAGAGAATAGTGCCCTGCATCATTGAGGATGTTAGTGAATGGGTCCAGGGCCTTTATGCTAATGCAATGGAGAGAATAGTGCCCTGCATCATTGAGAATGTTAGTGAATTGGTCCTGGGTATTTATCCTCATGCAATGGCGAGAATAGTGCCCTGCATCATTGAGAATGTTAGTGAATTGGTCCTGGGTATTTATCCTCATGCAATGGAGAGAATAGTGCCCTGCATCATTGAGAATGTTAGTGAATTGGTCCTGGGTATTTATCCTAATGCAATGGAGAGAATAGTGCCCTGCATCATTGAGAATGTTAGTGAATTGGTCCTGGGTATTTATCCTCATGCAATGGCGAGAATAGTGCCCTGCATCATTGAGGATGTTAGTGAATGGGTCCGGTGTATTTATCCTAATGCAATGGAGAGAATAGTGCCCTGCATCATTGACTGACTGTCTGAGTTTGGTTTTACGCCGCTTTTAGCAATATTCCAGCAACATCACGGCGGGGGACACCAGAAATGGGCTTCACACATTGTACCCATGTGGGGATTCGAACCCTCGGTCTTGAGGATGTTAGTGAATGGGTCGCTTTTAACCATTAGGCTAGAATAGTGCCCTGCATCATTGAGGATGTTAGTGAATGGGTCTAGGGTATTTATCCTAATGCAATGGAGAGAATAGTGCCCTGCATCATTGAAGATGTTCGTGAATGGGTCCGGTGTATTTATCCTAATGCAATGTAGAGAATAGTGCCCTGCATCATTGAGGATGTTAGTGAATGGGTCCGGTGTATTTATCCTAATGCAATGGAGAGAATAGTGCCCTGCATCATTGAGGATGTTAGTGAATGGGTCTAGGGTATTTATCCTAATGCAATGGAGAGAATAGTGCCCTGCATCATTGAGGATGTTAGTGAATGGGTCCGGTGTATTTATCCTAATGCAATGGCGATAATAGTTCCCCGCATCTTTAAGGATGTACTGAGGGCCTCTGTTTGATGATTTATAACCCATGATGCTTTGACTTCCACAGCACCAAGTTCACAATCATGCCAGTCAACGTTGAGATCAAAGCTTACATCTCCGACATTAAAGCTCTGCGAGAAACTTCGGAGAAACTGAGTGATGCTGGTTGTACCGTCCTGAAACAGGAGGACACGTTCTTCGTTACGCCTGCTGGTCGGCTGAAGTTGCGCCAGTCTCAGGTGAGAATTGCCAGTGTGAGAATGTGAGTGAGGGTTGGGGCTAGGAGGCAAGAAAGGAGATTTTACACCAGTTTGCAATATCTCACCCTCTCTTACCCAGGGAATTGTCTACCTTCTATTATAGTAAATACACAATACCTGTTTGTCAACATACCTTGTTTTGAATCCTGTTCAAATGACACAGTGCAAAAGACAAAAGGCTTTCAATCAAATCAAGCTGTATTTTATGGTTGAAGTGAGTAAGTACGGTTTTTGACCACTTTGAGCAATATTCCAGCTATATCACGGCGGGGGACACCAGAAATGGGCTTCACTCACTTTACCTATGTGGGGAATCAAACCCGGGTGTAACAGCATGATGAGCGAATGCTTTAACCACTAGGCTACTCCACCAGCCCTTTTATGATTGAAACTATCAGTATTATCTCCAGGACTTGACTCAACTTTTGAATGCAGCCTGAATATAAGTGGGAACATCTGGCAACATTAGGTCTTTCTTCCTCCTGAGGAATGAGGAAAATATTGCTAAAAGTTCTCTCATTCAGCAGAGAACATTGTACAGTGGAAAGAGAGTGGAAGGTCGGTGCTTCAGTCCACAGCTGTGTTATACCCCAAAATGGGAGTTTTTGTCAACCTGCCTAACACTCTGCATGGAGTGAGTGAGTGAGTTGAGTTTTACGCTAGACTCAGCAATATTCCAGCTATATGGCGGCGGTCTGTAAATAATTGAGTCTGGACCAGACAATTTCAGGGATCAACAGCATGAGCATCAATCTACGCAATTAGGAACCGCTGACATGTGTCAACCCAGTCAGCGAGCCTGACCACCCAATCCCATTAGTCGCCTCTTACGACAAGCATGGGTTACTGAAGACCAATTCTAACCCGGATCTTCATGGAGAGGTGGTAGGGTAGCGTAATGGTTAAAGCGTTTGCTTATCACACTAAAGACCTGGGTTAGAATCCCCACATGGGTACAAAATGTAGCTCATTTCTGGTGTGCTGGAATATTACAAAAATTGTAAAACCATGCTCCTTCTGCCTGATGGGATTACAAAAAACCTGTCATTTGTGAGTCTGTGGCATGGTATATCTGTGTTATAGCTAGATCTATGTCGAATACATATCACAAATATTGGGTATCGAACATGAATATTGGATTACGAATAAAATGACAAGTCAGCAGTTGATGCTATATTCATTATATTCAGTGACACAATAAGAAAATAGATTCTTTAGTATGCTTTGACCATGCTAACAGTGTTAATGTTTCCTAACATTGACTAGTGGAGACTTTAATGTAAAATTACTGGTAAATATAATAGAGCGTTGACTATCAACCTGCTTCATTTGGATATTTTCTATTTTTGATGAATATTTGATGATTCTAGTGATGGTGAATAATGAATTGAATTCATGAAGGGACACAGTTGGATTCACTGAATATGTGAATGAATTGTAATGGTGTAGACTAGCATTATCAAACCTACATTAATCTGTAGCGACACATGCCAACACATGCACATGTGAATACAAACACACACCATTATCCATCACAGCAATAATCTCTAATGTGACCTTAGCTTTTAAGCTCATTTCATCTCACCTATCAAATTCTCAAGAAGCAGTTTGCTGATTTGGTTGTTGATTTCAAGCCCAAGAGAAAGGATTCTGTACGATTTTAGTTCTGAGAGAGATTTTAGCTTTTGTCAACTTTGTGGAGATCCTGTTCTTAATAATTATTGAACCTGTGAAGATGAGGGTTAGAATTGGGTTTCAGCAACCTATGATTGTCGCAAGAGGCGACTAACGGGATCAGATGGCCAGGCTTGCTGACATTGTTGACACATGTCATCGTATCCTCATGCTCATGCTCATGCTGTTGATCACTGGATTGTCTGGTCTCAATTACATGTATTTACAGACCGCCAGATGATGTCTAGATGACGTAATCAGAAATGGGGTAATCCTTATACAATGTACGGGGTAGCCTAGTGGTTAAAGCGTTGGCTCGTCACGCCGAAGACCCGGGTTCGAATCCCCACATGGGTACAATGAGTGAAACCCATTTCTGGTGTTCCCCGCCGTGATGTTGCGGGAATATTGCTAGAAGCGGCGTAAAACCAAACTCTGTCAGTCAGTCAGTGATACAATGTACAATAGAGTTTAGTTTAGCAAATACATTACATGAACCATGTTTCTCTGTACCATATCCTGTCCTCGCCGATGAAACTTAAGAACAAATGAATCAAGATTATCATGCAGTATCAGAAAGGGATGAATATGAACTTATGAATGTACTGTATCAGAATATGAATCATATTGCGCCTATATTGTTGGGAGCATATCATAAATAGTTCTTATTGTACTGTTGCACCTCTAATGCTCGGAGGAATTTGCAATGTTTTATGCAGTGATAACATCAGTAATCTTCATATAATCTCCTTTGATCTCAAAACAAGAATGGAACCAGAGACTAGATTTAGAATTAAATTACATTTGTGACGTCATTCCATTGTCTGTTCGCTCCATTACTTTTCAGGAATGGAACGATGTGTACCAGTTTCAAAATAAAACCTTCATTTTGTCATTTTGACATTTAATTTTGAAAACAGAAATATGCCCAATACTTCGAATGTAATTTAAGTAGGGTAATATCCTCGTAACTCTCCATTCCTTAAAAATAATGTGCCTCGGCCCCTCCGGGGCCTCGGCTCCATTATTTTTAAGGAATGGAGAGTTACCCGGACATTACCCTCTACGTACAGTGAAACCTGTCTAAACCAGCACCCCACTGGACCAAAATAAAATGCCGGTTTGGACAGGTGTCGGATTAGACATTGACGATCATTTTCCAACATGGCTGCCATTTTCACTCAACAATTTCTCAATCTGACGTGCTGAGAGGGGTGTATTGGATTAAGGGACCCTGATTGGACTGCTCATACCCATGCAGGCTTAGAGCGTTAGATTCATCGTGCAATCACTACTTCCTGATTATCTAGCGTGCTAAGAGGATTAATTAGTGTATTGGATTATGGGTCCTTGATTGGACTGCTCATACCCATGCAGGCTTAAAGCGTTAGATTCATTGTGCAATCACTACTTCCTGATTATCTAGCGTGCCAAGAGGATTAATTAGTGTATTGGATTATGGGTCCTTGATTGGACTGTTCATACCCATGCCGGTTTAGACAGTGTTAATTACTGTTAGAATTGCTTGTTAGTACTGGAAAGTCGTGCTGGAATACGGAATAGACAGGTGCTGGATTAGACAATGTGAAAAATGTGAGCACCTTGAGCATGTACTAGATACATGGATATGTGCGCTATATAAATATCCTGTAGTAATAATAATAACAATGTATTAATGATCATAATATCGTTAAATGGCAGGACCGAAATTTGATGCCTGTTTTGACAGTGTGCCGGATATAGACAGCTGCCGGTGTTGGCAGGTTGCACTGGACATGTATTTCAGGCAACAAACTTACTCTTTTATGAAACTTGTGCTAGTAGTGAGTGCTTCTTGATGGAACAGATCAAGCTTACTTCATGTCATGACCGATTCACGGGATTTTCAATTATCCTTTCGTACAGTTTTCATCAATGCTTTGCATTTTGTGCCCAACTGAATCTGTTTCACCAGATTCAGGCCCGATTTCTCGAAACAAGCTTAAGTTTTTATTCAAATTTCAAACTGAGTTGGACAATTTGAAACAGATGAATTTTTAACTCAATTTTTTAAATAAAAAAGCCCAAACAACTTAAGTAATCTATCAACCAAACTCAAATTGTCTACTATGTTTGAGTTTAATATCGATTTTAGTTCATTCTGGGAAATGCATTTTTTAAAATTTGAGTAAAAACTCTAACTTACGTCGAAACTCAGACTTAAGTTTGTTTTGAGAAATCAGGGCCAGGACTTATTATTCTCAAGGATTGATGGTTTGTATATATTGTGTGCCCTTACATGGATCATGCAGCTGGATCATGGATCATGGATCATGCAGCTGGCTCATGCAGCTGGATAATGGCTCATGGATCATGCAGCTGGCTCATGGATCATGCAGTTGGCTCATGGATCAGGCAACTGGATCATGGATCATGCAGCTGGCTCATGGATCATGCAGCTGGCTCATGGATCATGCAGCTGGCTCATGGATCAGGCAACTGGATCATGGATCATGCAGCTGGATCATGGATCATGATGTATAAGCCACCGTAATGTGGCTTGAATACTGCTGGTTGTATACACAACAGACTCATGGAAACATTTTTTGTTTTCATTCCCTATTTTGCAGGGTGCACAAGCACAGCTGATTTACTACAAACGCTCTGATCAAACAGGACCAAAGGTCTCCAACTATCATGTTAGTGTGACTGACGATGCGGAAAATCTGAAGGTAAACTTTTGTCTTTTTAGCAGTTTTTAATGTTCTTGTTTGTGAAGAATTCGCACAAGTATAAGTGAAACTGATTGAATTTGTCTGAAGTATTGTCTTCGCATAGTTAATACGTGAATGAAAGTTTTGACATGTCCGCTTTCCTGTCTGGTGCGGTGGGGTAGCCTAGTGGTTAAGCGTTTGCTTGTCATGCCAAGACTTGTGTTCGATTCCCCACATGGGTAGAAAGGGTAAGGGCCATTTCTGGTGTCCGCCACAGTAATATTTGTGGAATGTTGCTAAAAGCGGCGTAAAACCATACTCACTCACTCACTCACCTGTCCTCCCACATTTTCATACATTTCATTTCAAGACTACCTGTGTTTGTGTAAAGACATAATTTGTTGTGGACTTCAGCGCTCATCTGAGTCATAGTAAAAAAATATGTCCGATTACCTGTCTGCAGGATTTCCCAAATAATTGCCCAAAACAGGTATATCTGGGTAAAATATTTCTTTAAGAATTGCAACCAATAAGTAATTATACTCTTATACAAAACATCGCAACCACAAATGTTCGCTGTGAACCGACAAATGTTAGCAGCTCTGTGAAAACAAGTCGGAACACTTTTGGACCCCTGATTCACCAAATTTTTTGTATGTGCAGCGCAGTAACACCACATTTGTAAGGCATCATTAAATTGATTTTGTAAACAAGTCATAATGTTATGAACACTTTTTGATCGTTTGGTATGGACCCTGATCTCCAAAAGACATCCTATAGTTTGTATGTGCAGCAAACCTAACAACTCAGAGAAAGAAACTCAGTAACTCCCCACCTTACACTTGGTTAGGGCATTATTGACGAACGATTTTGACACTTACAAGGGTTCATTATTTCTGTAAATAATTCTGCTAATCATGCAGTTGGAATTTGCTTGATTTCGTGCATTGTTTGTGTATGGACTAGAGATGTTGTGTCTTCAGTGCATGAGGGTTTTACAGGCAACTGAAAACTTGCAGAGGATGTCATATGTTATCTTTCAGATTACGCTAGGGAAAGCCTATGGTATCAAAGGAATCGTGAAGAAGACACGTTATCTGTACATGGTGGGTCAAACGAGGGTTCATGTGGACAGTGTCAACGGCCTTGGAGACTTCATGGAGCTCGAGGTGAGATAGTACGGACAACCAATCGTCATTTTAGTTGCTGGCTGGACCTGGGTTTATTTGGGTAATAAAATATTTTTTTTTATTTTGCTATAAATTTAACGCATATGGAACTAAGCAAAATTGTTTTTGTTTTGTTTATGGATTCAAAGATAACAATTCTTTATTAACATTAATGATGTGTTTGGAGAGAAATTTTCTTTCTTGTGTGATGGTCAGGATGTGGTGAGGTGAGGTGAACTTAGGATTTGGTCAGGATGTAATAGAGAATATTTGGCTCATATGACGACGCATGCGTAAGTATGTATATGTGCAGCTGCTTGTAATAGCCCAGACTTAAGCTGGTTTTTGGTCTAGCCCACTAATACCAGGGCGCAGTGAAGCATGAATCAGGACTGACACATTATACTGACTCGATTTGGTCAGGATGTAATAACCGCGCCAGGCAGGATCAACAAGTACCATATTTTAATGTCTTTTGGTATGATGTAATAACCGTGACCTAAGGATTTGGTCAGGATGTAATAACTGGGTAAGATTTGGCAGGAAGGATAGATCTTAAGTACGAAATGTTTGTGGGTGTGTGGTCAGACTGTGTGATTCATTCAACTGCTTGACACGATTACGGACATGGTGGATACGTTGTTGCTCATGTTATCAGCCTCTGGTTTGCTTGGTCCAATGTGCGATAGAGCTGGAAACTATCTACTGTGATGTAGCCAGTGTAGTGGAATATGTGAACTGTGATGTTGAAAAAACATATTTTTTGTTGTGCACTTCTGAAGTACCATATTCGCCAGATCAAGTGTTCTGGTGGATAGGAAGTCAATTGATCAGGGCACTTATGAAAATCTTCGCAAGGCTAATTATAATGTTAGGGACAGAGGGAACACAGTTAGTTCATGCAGATTAATGGTCAGCATGATTTAGTTCCTTGATTGTTTTACTAAAGGTATTCCTGAAACAAGAGGTCAATATTATTATGCTACATGTTCTTCTAATATAATGTATATCACTGTCCATAAGGCGACTCCACTCCATGTATTTAAAAATAGAAAGATCTTCAGTGTGTTCATGGGTTGTGTTTTAAGTGGATCTCATGCTTTATGTCATTACTGAATGTCTTATAGCAGCTAGGACTGCATATGTGAAGCCCATTCTGGTGTCCTTGCTGTGATGTTGCTAGAATAGTAGTGTTGGGAATTGGTTAAAATCTCATAATTGATGATTGGTTCATTACTACCGATCAATCATCGAAAATAATTGGTTAGCGTCATTTATGAAATTTGTTAATGCACATTAAAATAAGGGAAAACCCCCATAGTTTTTCGGGGTTTTTTTGGCAACATTTCACATCTTTAAAGGATGACTAGTATGTTAGGAACATAAATTTCTTGGAATCTTTAAGATAAATCCAATCATGACTTGAAATGAGCTTGTAGTGCTACGGAATGTAACAGACAAAACCAACGATGTGAAAAATATTGTTAATGAAAACAAGTGTTCCAGAATTGTTTGTGTTCGATTATGAGAAATTATGATCGATTGCTTGGTCGTTTAGTCACTACGACCAATCTTCGATTATTTCAATTAATCGGACCACCACTAATTGCTAGAATATTGCTAAAAGTGGCGTAAAACCATACTCACTACAGCAGGACTGCATGCGTAGCATCTGTTAGCACTGGTCTTTGTTTGGTTGTTGCTATACTCAGCAATTAGTCAACTATATTCCAGCTATATGAAAGCATCTTGTACAGAATAGAATCTGGACCAGACAACCCAGTGATTATGATTATAAGCATCAATCCGCACCATTTGTGTAGATGATAGAATAAACCAAGTTACCCATGTGTTTTTCACAGAATAGAATCTGGATCAGACAACCCAGTGATTGAATATAGGAACATCAGAGAGTCCACACCATTTGTGTAGATGATAGAACAAGTTATTCCCCATCTGATCCTTTAAATCCTGCTTTTGACAAGATTCCAGGACTAGTTATTTCGAGAATCCACATTTGGTATTTAGGCCGATAAGAGTGCCATTTTAGGGTAAATACGGTAGTGTTGTTGATGCCAGTGTTTCTCAGTAGCATCCTCATCACTAACCAGCTTATCTGTTGTTGTTCCACCCATGAAAATCCGGGTTAGAATTTGTCTTCAGTAACCCACGCTTGTCGTAAGAGGCGACTAACGGGATCAGGTGGTCAGACTCACTGACTTGGTTGACACATGTCATCGTATCCCAATTACGTAGATCTATGCTTATGATGTTTATCACTGGATTGTCTGGTCCAGATTTGATTATTTCCAGACCGCCACCATATAGCTGGAATATTGGTGAGTGCAGTGTAGAACTCAACTCACTCACTCACTCACTCTGTTGATGTTCATTCAGGTTCAGATGAAGCCCGGACAGGAAATGGACGAAGGCCAGGAGATCGCCAATGACCTCATGACCAAACTCGGGATCAAGGAGAGTGATCTCATAGAGGGAGCATACATGGACCTCCTTCTTGAAAAGCAAACCACAAATGTGAACTGAGTCAAATCTGAATTATTTTCTGTTATGCTGGCTACTGAATTTCAATGTTATCAAATATTTCAATTACCATTGTAGCTAAACCTGTGCAAGTCAAAGACACTGTTTTTGAGGACAGGATTATTTCTTAGTGCTCTAGTTTTAAGAGGAATGCTTTAGAGCTTTTATACAGACTAAGTTGATCAAATATTTGCAAGGCAAAATGTGATTATTTACAGTTAACAAGTTGAAATATCAAAACATAAAGAAATATGATATTGGTATTTCAGTCAATATTTGGTTTGTATTCATTATCAGGTGTTGTACCCGGTGCTGCGTTTGACCAAACAGCCAACATGTCAATGTTTGTATTTTCAAGTTCATGTTTCCATACGATTCATTCCATCCCATAATCTTTCATAACTTTCCATCAGTTTAGTAGAATGATGGCTGTTGTGTCATTGTGATGAGTTGTCTCCCTTAGTTTTGTTTTGATCTGCTTGTAGGTTTGAATCTCAAGCTTCACCTTGGCAAAGATCTTGTTTTGTCAACACCATACACACTAGTTTTCTTCCAAAGTGGTAAGGGTTAATGAATACAGATCTTGTTTAGCTTCCCTTGCAAATTAGCTGACATGGCAGATCCCGATTTAAGCTTTTGCATCTTGGATTGGTGCAGTCTGAAACTGCAAAATGCAACCACGTTTATTCCAACTTGCACCCACTGCATGGTAATACTGTATTGTTAAAAGAACACAGATTTCTGATGGAAAACAGAATGATGACAAACTGGCTTGGAGCAGTGACTCTAATGTCTACACAGACAGTAATTCAATGACTGGTACTGTGAAATTTTATGAAGTAGGATATAATTATCTTATCAGACCCAGAATAATTTTGTTACATTATGTTAGGTCATCAATACCAAACTCAAGCATTATATATAATTGTATATTTAGCACCAGGTGCAAGTTGTTTTTGTCTGTCGCGTCAAGGTTATTACCTAAGGTTGCACCAGTGCAAGTACGTTTCATTTCCTTAAATCGAGCAATTACTGAAGAATTGTTTAAAGTGGCATTTAACCCAACTCATTAACCCTTAAAGTGTCCTAAAGTTTGGAGAGACCACTCCATATGTGTTCTGGGGTGGTAGGGTAGCCTAGTGGTTAAAGTGTTTGCTCGTCATGCTGAAGAGTTGGGTCGATTCTCCCCATGGGTACAATGTGTGAATCCCATTTCTGGTGTCTCCCACCATGATATTGCTGGAATATTGCTAAAAGTGGTGTAAAACTAAGCTCACTCACTCACCCATATGTGTTCTCAAGCTGCTTCTTCCATTGAGGCAGTGGGGTAGCCTAGTGGTTAAATGTTTGTAGTGTTCCCTGCTGTGATATCACTGGAATAATGTTACTGATGTAAATCCAAGTCACTCACTCACTCTTCCATGACTGCAATACTGCCTTCAACCCACCCACTTCTATCACTGCCAGTTGTTTCATTTGTTTAAAAAATTTAGTCTTGTTCAGACTTTGAACCCCTTTCAAGCCATAATAAATTATTGTTAGATTTTCGTCACAAGCATTTCACTGCTGAACTACCCAACACGTAGTTTGTTACTCCTTCTGCCCCTGTGGATGGAGAATGGCATCGTGGAGCGCCACCTTTCCTTACTCCATGAAACATACCATATGGTTACCAAGTCTTACTGACCTGTGAAGATCAGGGTAAGAATTGGTCTTCATCAACCCATATATATCTTAAGAGGCATAAATAGGATCAGGTTGTAAGGCTCACTGACTAGGTTGATGCTTGTCATTGTATCCCAGTTGCTTAATGCTCATGATATCAATCACTGGATTGTCTGGTCCAGACTTGATTATGAACAGACCACCGTCTTATAGATGGAACATTGCTGAGTGCAGCTTTAAGAAACAAACCAAGTCTTATTAACAATCTCGTTTCATCTGTTTCACATCCATCCACAGTTTATGCACACCCATGCCTTTTAACAGTGTGTGGGGCGTTGGGGTAGCCTAGTGGTTAAAGCGTTGGCTCGTCACGCCGAAGACCCGGGTTCGATTCCCCACATGGGTACAATGTGTGAAGCCCATTTCTGGTGTCCCCTGCTGTGATGTTGCTGGAATATTGCTAAAAGCGGTGTAAAACCAAACTCAGTCAGTCAGTCAGTTTAACAGTGTGTTTTGAAATATACATATATATATTTAAAAACACTAAAAATGCCACCCACCCTACTTTCTTTGTTACATTTAGATGAAATTCTAATATTAATCATTTATATGGCATTCACCTACCTATCAGATATCATGATTATATGTCATACTGACATGAACAGTATTTCATGTTAGTTTTGTGCACTGGATTGTGTTATACAACTTGTAATTCTGGATATCTGATGGTTGATACAAGATCAACGAGTTATAGTTAATTAAACAATAAACATATAATACTCAAAAGAATTGAAAATGATAAAATTCTTTCATATTATGAGCTAAATTGTCCTGATGGATTATCAATTGTAATGCGAAACAATGGGCTTGTCCTTAGCATCTTTTGAGTGGTATATTTAGAAGCCATGTATGTGATTTGTCTGTCAGACTAAGAGAGATATTTTTGTTCTGCATTGAATGGTCAAGTTTCACATTGAAGTATTTTCCATCATATTCCGCGATGTTCGTATATAATGTTAACTTAGAGACAGGTCATTTATTAAACGGGAGGGTGGGACAGAGATTTTTAATACATCCCTGTACTAAAAATTAATAAAATGGCTCTCCTCAATTTTCAGGATGATCCTCTCCATGTCCTTTACACTTTTTCCAGGACACATCCGGGAAGACAGAATATAAATGCATTTTATATTGTGCACCCAAAGAATTGGCAGTATTTTCATGACCCTTCCAGAATATACATATTGTGTTTAATGGCTCTCCCCTTGAGTCTTGTCATATTTTCTGGTGACATTCCCCAGAATCCCTCTGACCTTACACCAGTGTATGAAATAAGGCCCTCCAACAGCCCTGGGCTAGATTTCTGCCAGACGGTCTAATTTTACAGCTAGCCAGCCCGATGGACGGGTGAAAAAAATATTCAAATAAAGTGACCACTGGCACTGCCTATATAGTATTTAAGAAGGACTGGTTAAATCTCTTCTGGGCTGGTAAATTTTTGAAGTTACCAGCCCAGATGTCTGGCTGGGTTTGAAGAACCGTGTTAGAATTCATAGAGGCGACTAACGGGATTGGGTGGTCAGGCTCGCTGACTTGGTTGACACATGTCATTGTATCCCAATTGTGTAGGTCAATGCTCATGCTATTGATCACTGGATTGTCTGGTCCACACTCGATTATTTACAGACAGCCTCCATATAGCTGAGAGCGACATAAAACTAAACTCACTCACTCATTTCCTTAAATGGAGCCCTGCAATGACATGCTCTGATATTACTGAAGTATTGTTCAAAGTGGCATTGTGCCAAACTCATTTAACCCTCAAAGTGTTCTAAAAGTTTGTCATGACGAACACCCGGGTTTGATTCCCCACATGGGTATAATGTGTGAACCCCATTTCTGGTGTCTCCTGTATGGTAAATAATGACTGCTCCCAAAGAAAGGTGTTTCTTTACTCCCAGTTTCTGTATGCAAGTTTCAGGTGAATGTTCTGAAAATCTAACTCATGGTAGCATGTGTGTAAGTATCTATTGCAGTACAATTATATAGATGTCACCAAAAGGTCAGGGTAAATGACTTGTGTTAATTCTCGGAGTTTGTAAGTGATGGATGAACTTGAATGATATTGTGGATCTTGTATTGCATTTATGATATGTTTATGAGCTTAAAGAAAATAAAATTTTCCATCTAATGATTTTTTCCCCTTTACTGAAAAGATGTCAGCGGTAGGTTATTGGGCAGCATCAGATCATGTTCGGCAAAGGCAAGGTCACCCAGCAGAAATAATACAGCAAAGGGAGAAAACCCAGGAGGGAATAATCAAGACAAGACCAGTAAAAATCAAGTTGAATACGACAGGACTTCACACAGACTGGCCCTCTGATGCCCATTTTGCTCCACTCTTGTTCCTCTTGTTTCTTGTCATGCTTTATATAGGCCATGAGCCAGACATTTTTTCGGTACCACTCTGAGGGACCAAATACTTTTATGTTTTTTTGAAGTTGTTATGGTTTCTACATATCAAAGAAGTATGATGGCCATGTCGGTTTGGTAGCTCAAACTCAGAACGAGGCTACATCCAAGATGGCCGCCAAAAATAAAATTAAAAAAATGTCAATTCCAAGCTTGAATTGTGAGTAAAGTTTAGCAAATAGGTTGGAAATGAAAATAGGGAGGTACAAATAGTGCGAACATGATTAAAAGGATTTAATTAATATCAAGTTGTGTTATTTGATACGTTTAAGTCATATACGACAGTTGAGACGGCTTCTTACTTCATCAAAGAGCAAAACCAATATCATCCAGTTCATTGTTCAAAATCGCTAAAAGTTCATTTATATCAAGAAGGTTGCTGCGCCGTTTGGTCAAAGCGTTTGCAAGACCTGTCCAGGACTACACGTATATACTGAATGTTATACTGTCAGTTCTTTTGGAGGCAGAGGGGAAGGTCAATGCATTCAAACTACTTCAACAGCAAGGGATATCAAGAAGCTTTCCAACAACTTGGGAATGTGTGGCCTGTGCCACCAGGTTTGATCAACTCACTTCAGGTATTCACATGCCGCCTGTATGCCTCAAGTTCTTAAATAAGGGATGTCAATCAATTGCGCTACCACTTATTTAAGGTGAGAAAAGCGGCAATTGAATCAGGACAATAGCCACCCTGCTTTGATTGTCTATCTATGCCCGTCCTGAGAGCAAACTATCAAGCTGCAATATGGAACAACTGTCTGGGAGCTGAATATCCAACTTCACGGGAAAAAGATGGTCATGGATGGGTGGAAGAAAATGATCAGATAGAGATTTGCTGGATGACAGGATCTATTGCTCCAGATGCTGTTCTTGAGTTAATTTTTTTGCAAGTACACAACATTCTGTAAACTGCCAAGTTGTCAATGCCTTACCAATGGACTGAAATGCACTGTGACATGTCGGAACCAGACTTGTGTCAAAATGGTCTGCGAGGACCATGACACGCCGGAGAGTGATACTGATGATGAAGATGACGTTTGAAAATGTTGGGGTTTTTTGGCGACCATCTTGGATTTAGCCTCGTTCTGAGTCTGAGCTACCAAATTGACATGTCAATCATACGTTTTTGATATATAGAGACATAAAAGAATATAGAAAACACTAAAACATTTGGTCCCTCTGACTGGTACAAATATGTCCATTTTCAGCTCATGGCTCATGGCCTAATATAGCACTGTGGGTGAAAATCTGGAAATAAATAAAGGAGCACTTGTGCTTTCATGTTTTCCCTTATTCGTTTCCAAGAGTATATTATAAACACTTGATAAATACATAGATTTGTATGTGTAGGAGGAAGTCCGAAATCCGTCGATTAGTTTCGCTCGTGAGGCTCGTTCGAGGTCGTTACTCTTTACCGATTGATAGCTTTCTCCAACTTAAAACGAAGTCAGCACGAGTCAACTATAGTCTGTTTGTAGTGAAAACGTACCGATGTATTTCACTTTAAACGAAGAAGTAAATCTATTAAAGCGAAATTAAGACTGCGAAACCTCATAATTTTACCGTGCCAATGGAATATAAAGGAAGGAAATGGAATGGATGGAATGGAGAGGATGAAAGAAGGAGGAAAGATGGAAAGGATGGAATGGAGGAATAATGGAATGGAATGGAATGGAAGAAGGAAGGAATGGAGTGGACTTTAATGGATGGACCGACCAAGGACGAAGACGGAAGACCAAGGACATGGAGGATGATCCCAGACCCAGGATGGACACAGGAAGCATGGACACCCAGAGGAAGGACCCAAGGAACACGAGAGACACGGAGGAAATAAAAAGGAGGTGGAGGACAGCCCCAGGATCCCAAGGATGGACCACACATGGAGGAAAAACACAAAGAGACCAAATGGAATGGACACATGGCCACATGGACACATGGACCCAGGCACATCCCAGGCATGTGGAGACCAGAGACAAAAAAATAATCAGGAGACAGAAAATCAGGGAAGAAAACAGACATGGAAAATGAGACCCACACATGGAGAGATAACCCACATGTGGAGGAGACAGAATCCCACATGAACTAGAATGGAATGGAAAATAATCACACAACCCAGGCACATGTGGACCAGGAGAGAAAGAATGGACACACAATCCCACAACTGTACTGAGACCCAGACAAGGAGGAGACCAAGACACACAACCAGGACCCACAAGACACCCACACATGAAACCAGGAGACACACAAAATGTGAGAGAGGACCCAAGGAGGTGGAGGACCACATGGAGACATATGGACCACACATGGAGACCACAGGCATGGAGAGACCAGACATGGAGGACCCAGACAGACAGACAACACAATGGACGGAGACACACAGGAACAGGGACGGACAGAGGAAAGAGGAAACAGCACATGGAGAGTGGTGTGGAGAGATGAAATAGGACCAGTGGATGAAAGAAGGAACGAAATAGTGGCAGGAGAATATGGAATGGAAAGGATGAAATATGGAACATGGAATGGAGATGAAGGAACAAAGGAAGAAGAATCTTAGTGGATGGAGGAATGGAAGGAATGGAGGAAGGACCAGGGAGTGGAAGAAAGAATAAAGAGGAAGGTGGGAGAGATGAAGAAGGAGACCAGGAAGAATTGTGGGAGTGAGATGGCATGGAGACCAGGGAGTGAAGGAATGGTGAAATATGGAGAATCAGGGGTGGCAGGAGTGGAAAAGGGAATGGAGAAAAGGGAAGGAAGAATCAGGGAGCACCAGGGAATGAAAGGGGTGGATGGAAGGTATAACCTGCCGGGCGTTATTTCGTATTGATGAGTATAACTGTCGTCGTGCGCCGGTATTACGTAGTGCTAACTGTGGTTGTGGTGTATATATTTTGCATACGTGAGTATAACTGTGGTTGTGGGTGTATACATTTGTACAGGTGAGTATGGTCGCCGTAAAAAGTACCGCGCCACGAGTATAACTGTGGTTGTGGGTGTATATATTTGTTATGTGCTAACTGTTCATTTTTTCGACACCCACCGGCCAATCTAATATGGACAAACCAAATGTTCTTACCAGCGTTCCAAACGGCACGGAGAATTTCTAACGCACGCACCTGAAACATACCCTGGCGAATATCATACCCCTGGTATGGTGGATGGTCCGACAAAGATCTTCGAAAACTACCGACCGTGCTATGGGTGTAATGCAAAAGCGACGGAAATCTTTTGCAAAGGTCTGATGGGGACCCCGACCAATAATTGGCGATTTAGTTCCTTATACCGCCTAAAAATTAAAGTCAGAGAAGGCCATTCTTAAAAATATGTAAAGCCGTGGACAAAGTGATTTGTTGTAACGGAAGCCGAGAGGATGTTTCGATTGTACCGGGATATGTTTGAACATACCAGCATAATTCTGGTACCGAGTTTATTAAACACTGTAACTCGATCATATAAATGCAGGAAAAAACATCGAGCCAGCCAAAACGCGTAAAAATATTTCCTCAATAACAAGCCCTGATAACCAAAGATTTCAAACTGGGTTTAAAATGAAAAGAAAAAGGGACTTTGTGCAGGGGACGCGCCTGGCGGTTAAAGTTGGTGGTTCCGCGGTTATATTTCCGCTTCGGTTTAAATGGGCGAAATGTAAAGCGATTAACACAAAACAAAGATTGAAAGACAATTTTCGGGAAACAATTTACGTAATGCATGGAGCGCATAACACTAGTCACGGATCAACATGATCCGACAGTTGGAACTAGCATATCTATCCCTTCTTCAAATGAGTTTAACTCCTTCTACCCCTATTTGGAGTATGATCATTTCTTTGTTTTTTTTGCACATTCAAAAATAAAAGCTTCGATTTACACCATTCTACAAATTCGTACCGCCGTAAATCAAGTTCTGATGATTCCCAATGCGCCCGTCAACGATCATCCCCTAAATTCATCGTGAAACATAGTTTCTGTGTTGGTTAAGCATAGCCATTAGTTTACAAAATGAAATATGTAATGCAAACCTCTGTTTTTCAGCCATTTTTAAGCTTATATTGATGATTTCCCGTTATTAACCTGTTCAAATTGTTGCCCGTTAACCAGAAATATTTGGGGCACTCGTCTTAGATCTGAAACTCTCCGGAACGAAACAGAGAAAATATAGCTGCAGGCAAACGATGCAGGTCTCCTGGATTTACTTTCTATCTATTGTGGTCTGAGGGCTAGATATCATCCTCCAAAACGGAAATGCGAAACACGTGTTTTGGCTTTGCGCCAGCGGATCTTCCAAATACAGTCAGTCGCGATGAACCTTTAAGCAGTTCCGGAGAAGAAAACAGCCCCCATTTAAAAGGCTGTATCTCAGTCGCCCTTTGGGTCTACGTTCAAAACAATTAGTGCCCCGAACTCAGGACATCATCTACCATATGTACTTTTGGGGAGCAAACTACTCAGGAAACGTGCTGAAAAACATGGCCAAAACCTGTCGCGTACCAACGCCAAACGGTATGCCGAAGGGATCTTTAATTCCGTCCAGGCAAAACGGCTGGGAATTTGATTGCATCTGCATGCGAAATTTGGAAGTGTTGGAACAATTAGTTTTGAGATATTTTGCTGTCAAACGTTGAAATTTTAAATTTACTCGAAATTTGAGCTCTCGGCATAAAGTTGGGCCCCAAAATTAATATTCTTTAAGGGAATACCCACACCGGTGCGCATTTGTGTGGATTTTTGTAAGCGATTAGAGCATTGGTTTAGGAGTTAAGGTTTGGTAAAAAATCGGCGAATAATAAAGCCAATAATAATAATAACTGAACGACATAATAGGTCTCCCTTGCCTAGAGGCGCATTCCAACAGGCGCAGCGACAACAACGCTTTGCATTTTTGTGGGAAGACGCGAAAATCGACCAATATATCAAGGTGATGTTATTTTACGTCTCTCAATCTCAAAGTGTGTAATAACCTTTAATTTCGAGCTGTTCGGAACCTGTCTGTCCAGAATAAAACAAACCTAAAAAAATCGTAAACACTGCGTCTAAAATTATTGGGCTTCCTATCGAAAAGTATAAGAGTTGTTACAGCAGCAAATTTCAAAAAGGCAAACACAATTTTAAGTGATCCTACTCACATAATTTTTGGGAATATTCCATCTAACTTCACGCGGCCGCGCATGTGACGACTTTTAGAACGTAAACAGGTTCGCCACTCATTTGGTTCCAGATGTAGCGTTGCATGCACAACAAACAAAATCTTGGAAATGAATGACTTGTCTTTAATTTGTCCAAATTCTATTAAATATCTATGTTTTGTGTACTAAATTGATGTATTTATATCCTGATTATTTTAAACAAGAGTTTTGGCGATTACCATCGTACCGTTATGTATGGCTGCTTTATGAAAGAAAACCTGGTAAACGTACATGCAAAACAAAATTTAGTTTTGGGGACACAGCTACCGAGTTCATCTTATCTTATCTAATCTTTATGTGAGTATAGCCGTTGTGGGTGCATATATTTGTATGCAAAAGTATGTAAGATTGAATGTGAAACGAATGGGTATGCAGAATGTTCGTGCGTATCTGTGTGTGAGCACCTCTATGTTTTACCACTGATATTTCGCGTACGTGCGCGTGTGTCTGCGTGCAGGCCATGTTTTTTATTTCAACCGTATAATTTTATGTAACTTTACCAACATTTTATCCATCCTCCCACGTATTTTAATGATCTTTAAAGCTTCCCTTTATAATTAGCGGTTTGTGCGTGCACATCTTTATAACTAAGTGAATGATGACAAATAGCATGTCTAGGTTTATACCCACCAAACACGGGTTACAGCAAGGAAGCGGTTCCAGTAATGCCGCAATTTCGAATTGCCTGAAACCTTATGGGCCGACACTTTGAGGATACGACCAGAACTCTTCACCGTTGCATATGCTTTTGCGCCGGCATATGCCACATTTACTTTCTGTGTACTTAAGTTAAAAAAGAGGAAACATATATCATTTATTACCCACGAGGTCAACGTATGGGTAGCCGCATACCAATCTCGTGCCCACGAGTGTCGTATCGCGTTGACCTGTGTCGTAACGACTTGACCTTTGAGATTCTAACGATTTGATTGGATACCCGGATGACCTTTCAATAAGGTCATATTCCTTGACGTAAACTATTGTTTCATTCAACAAAATACGTAAATCGGCCCATTCCTACAACTTAAATGCATTATGGAATGTAAACATTTTCGCAACGCCGCGTCGGTGTTTTTACCGTACGAACCTATAAGG